TTGACCTTCATATGTGAATCATCAAGATTACCCCAGGGTATTGTAGATCATATTGAACGTTCTCACTAATTTCTTTACTAATGTTAGTGTTGTGGATTCCGAGATGAAATTCGGTCTCCAAAGAATAACAAACGCAAGAATTAAGGATAAGAAATTAAATGTATTTACACAATAATACAAAGGGTAATACTGTTAGTAAATCCAGGAATGCGGTTAGTAGCAATAGCATATAGATATATACAGTCTCGAAGTAGGACTTCCTTGGAGTCTACGTGCTTGTAACTGACTTCTACAAGCGGTTACCTCACACTATTACTCTACCTCCAACTCCATCACAATCTCAGTCTTCTCACTATCTATACTCACTCTTTGACTGACTGTCTAACTCTGGGTATTTAACGACAGGAGTCCAAGTAACACTCTGGTGGAGTCCACTTATATGAAAAAGGGGAGGACACCATAACAGTTAGGTTGCCTAAGTCGGCTCAAGGATCCAATTTCATGTCAAAGTTATTTCAGCAAAAAAGTGAATAAAAGTGAGTGCTTATCATTCAAAATGATAAAACGCTCTCTCTCGAGAGAGAGAGATCACTCTGTCCTTAATAATATGATGAGAATTTATTGTTTAGACCACATGAAAGATTGGGACGAGAGCATGCCGTTCTTAATATTGGTTTTAGTTCGTTTGAACTTGTTTTCGAACATTAGGTACGAGCTATGTTACAACTAATAAAGGAAAAAAGGTTACAAGATGATCCAAACAAAGGTCATCTATTAGAATATCAGGAAACGAATCTCGGAAGCGAATAAGCTAGTTCGTAAGCATCACAGAAGTGTTCAAGGCAAAATGAAAGAGTGTGGATAAGAAAACAGCTGAAGCGAAATTCGAGACGGGAGACGAAGTTCTAATTTTATTACCAACGAATAACCACCCGCTTCAAACTAAATTTCAAGGCCCATAAAAAATTAGGAAAAAAATAAGCGAACTCAATTATAAGGCGGAAATGCCTAATCGCAAAAAGGAGACACAGAGATATCACATAAACATGATTCTCATACTACAGACGGACAAATGATAACTCATATTTACCATTCAAAAATCTTATGAGGATAGACATCCTAGGCAAAAAAAGGGAATGAATTATACGTGGATATAAATCCTCCACATAAGCTTAAGAATTCTGAAATGTTAGCAAATTTCGATAGTAAGTTACGACATTTGCCAGATACCGAGAAGAAGGAGTTAGCTACCCTTATCTCGGATTACGAGTGTTTATATTCCAATGTACCTAGTCAGACAACAATAGTATTTCACGATGTACATGTATGAGATGCCAAACCAATAAAGCAACATCCATATAGATTGAATCCTCAAAAGACAAAGCTCATGGAGGATTAAATCCAATATATATTAAGGAATCGATTTATCGAACCAAGCCAAAGCGAATGAGTTTTACCATACGTATTGGCAGAAAAACTCGACAAGACGATGAGATTTGTACGGACTTTAGAAAGGTAAATAAGCTTACTAAAACAGATTCCTACCCTATTCCTACCGCAGACGATTGTATCAACAGAATTGGAAAGGCTAACTATATCACGAAGTGTGATCTTTTAAAAGGTTATTTGGCAGTATCATTAACTGACAAAACTAAACAGATATTAGCTTTTGTAACACCCAGCGGATGCTATCAATATTGCGTTGTGCCTTTCGGCATAAAAAAACAAAACTCACAAGCAACTTGCCTAAGATTAATAATCGGTCCTTGAGAGATATACAAGGAACAGACACCTATATCGACGACAGTGTCATATATAGTGATTTTGGAAAGAAAACCTTCCAGCATTGAGGAAGGTATTTGATAGATTTAAATTAGCGAACATTACCGTTAATTTGATAAAAAGGGACTTTTGTCAAGCAGAGATAACTTACCTAGGACATGTCGTATGACATGGGAAAATTTCTGCGCTTAATGCCAAAATACAAGATATTATGAGATATCTGATCCCTGGTAATGTAAAAAGATTAAGAACATTTTTGCGAATGGCGGAATATTAACGAAAATTTTGTGGAAATTTTTCTGAAATTTCTTTCCCGCTGACTAACTTTTTAAAGAAAGGGATTAGGTTTACCTGGACTTCGAAATGTCAGGAAGCGTTTGATAAAATAAAATATTTACTTGTTACTAATCCAGTACTTAAAATTCCAGAGTTTAAAGAGCCGTTCGGCATTGCAATTGTCGCAAGTAACATAAGAATTGGGGAAATATTATTACGAGCCGAAGATTAGAATAGAATGCATTCGGGCTGTTACTATTCGTGAAAATTAAATAAACATCCGAAAAAATATTCTACGACAGAAGAAGAAAGTATAGCTTTAATATCTAGCTAACAACACTTCGAAATTTATGCCACTATTGCACATCCATATGCTGTAATATCCACGGATACCAACCCGTTGGTTTCCTTAGTCAAAGTGAAAAATAAAAATAGATGACTCCTAGTATGGAGCTTCGCTTTACAAGAATTCAACTTAAAGATTAAGCACAAAAGTTTAGAAAATAAGTGAGTGGATGCAATGTCACGTATTTAAAGTTACAAGAAAAAAAAGGAATTAAAATATTTTTTTTTCATTTCCGTGGTGAGATGATATGACTTTCCGCAACTCACCCACACACAATTTACATTTAACAACAAATTTCTCATTCCCATCTCTCTTTGTCATCTCTCTAATAATATAAGATATGAAGTCCCTCTTTCTCTTTTTGCATATATAATAGCAGTTTAGGTTAAAAGGGACCGACAACCAGAGCAACGGGTGGTAGCCGAAGCTACAGGTAACAAATCACGTGACAAAATACGAATGCATGAGCGGGAAAAATATTGACAGAAACCATTTGGGGTAATGAAGTTCGAAGGAGACTGGTCATCTATTAAATTCTCATGCAAATTGATTCTCCGAAGTGAAGAATAAATATCGCCCCCAATTCACATCAACTCCAAACACAGAATCAGGCGGAATGAGTTTTGTGCAAATAATTCCTCTTTTACTTTTTACTTTCAAGCAAGAGAGATCACATGATAAAAGACAAACTCCAATTCAAGTCAACACCATGCTGCTTACATTAAAAGCATTGGTGAATGATGAAACGTGACAGTCACCTAAGAAATGCATATGTGATAGACTCAATTGGACGAAGGATGCGAATTATGAATTTTGTACAGCTAAATATATGATTTATACAGAGCCGAATTTTCAAAACCGAATTCTATAGCGCTGAACATCCTCAACCGAATAACGAAGACGATATTGAAGAAAGAAGAATAAATCAAAGATCAAACGCTACTTAAGCGAACAAACTGATTTGAAAGTAAAGAGAACAAAGAGAAATATATAAGAGAGAAAAGAGAAAATCTTATTTTATTTCAGAAGAAAAGTTAAGTTTTTGTTTCAACTTTTACCGTCAGAAAATAAGGCATGCATTTTCCACACAGAAATGTATAGCATATATCTTTGCAGACATGGTATTCATAAAATGTTTTCATATATTCTCTACTTTTTAAAGTTTGAAGCTATAGCTGTCCGTAACACCACACACACACACACAAATATATATATATATATATATATATATATATATATATATATATATATATATATATATATATATATATATTAAAACAAGTTCAAAAATTAACCGTAGGTTTGTATCTTTCATGCGACTTACTTAAAAATCGTAGAATATAAAAAAAACACAGAAAATGAGAAATGTATAGCATGCATCTTTACAGGCATGTTCTTCATTAAATGCTTTCATATATTGTCTAGTTAGAGTTAAACACTTTTTAATTTGTATATTTTCGTTTTGTCATTTGTTACTGTTGATTATCGTTCGGCATTCGTGTATATGATACTACTAAGAATCTATTCACTTCACCACACACACACATACACCACACACACACACATACACACATACACATATATATATATATATAAAGAAAGATCAGTAAGATATATAATCCGATGTTCTTATAGATATTATTATTTTTACAAAATAGTGCTCAATGTAAATATACAGAGCATTAATATCATAAATTAATTGATTTATAATATGTTTTTCGCTACACAGTTCTAACCATGTTTCAAAAATGGAAGCTGAAAGCTCCGAATTTAATTTTGTAATTAAATTAAAGACATTAGTTCCATTTCATCCTCCCACGAATTTTGGAGTAACTTTTAAAATTACTGGGTTTTAAAGACACAGCAAAAATCATAATTCACGTTTCCAAGGATACAGAGAAATCCAATTCAACCAGACAACCATATTTTAAATCAATTAATATATATATATATATATATATATATATATATTAGTAATACCAGTTCAAAAATTAACCGTAGGTTGTATCTTTAATGGCTACCTATGCGATAGTGAGATACAAACACACATAATTGCAATGAAATATAATGATGTTATACTTGTAAATATAGGTGAGCGTAAAACACACAATATTATTCAAAGTCTATTATTAATATAAAGGGTGGTCCGAAAGTCTTGTGTCCCTTACATAATATACTTTTTTATTTCAATGGTCTGACACGAGCTCGTGGTGTCTGGAAGAGAGGTAGCGGGTGATAAGACTATCGAATCAACCTGTAAAATGTATATTTCATTTTAGAATAGGGCTGAATTAGAAAAGTTTAAAATTCCTTCTAATATTTATTGAAAAGTGTGTGACAGAAAACTCGAGAGAGAGAAAGGAAGTAGTGAGAAAATATAAAATGAGAGACGATAATTTTTGTTAAATAATATAAAAATGAAAATTATTTTGTATTGTTTGTAAGTATTATTTCCTGATAATCTTGTATTTGGATACAATTTTGTTCAAAAAGAAAATCTGTTGCCAAATATTTTATTTTATTTCTGAGCGTAAATTCACTTTATCAGCGAAGAAAATCTTTGGAAAAATCCGGAAAAAATGTGACATAAAATTTATTAAAAAATAAATAAATAAGAGTTTATCAAGTACAAGAGCAAAAAAAAAGATAGCTGTGTGTGTGAGAGTGAGAGAGAGAAAGAGAGAGAGAGAGAGAGAGAGAGAGAAATGGAGAGAAATAAAGAAAGGAGAGTGATTGAGTGATTGATAAAGTGGTAACGAAAATGACAGAAAGAAAAAGGAAAAATCAAGAGAAACTAAAAGTAAGATAAACAGAAGAAAAAAATGTATAAATTAATTCTTAGAAGAGAGAGAAAAACTAAATGAAAAGAGATTTAAAGGAAGAGAAAATGAGAATGATTAAGGGTGGTGACATGTAAAAGTGACATCATGAAAACGTGTGTCAAACAAGTGAAAGAGAAGAAAAGGAGAAAATATGATCGGTGAAAAGTTAAATTTAAACACAGTACCAGATTGGTGACAAGCTTTCATCTTTATACTGTTGAAATGGCCGCTAGACGTAAAAGTTTTATGTTAACGGTTTCTTCTCTCGCACTTCCCGCTTGTAGAACTCCCTTCCGGATTCTTAGTTCCAAGTAAACTGATCTTCAATAATATAAATGCAATGTAAATCATTACATTATGTCTACGTAATTCCTGTTCTCTTTTTGATCTCTTAATGACTTTTTCCTTTCCCTTTTTCTGTTTTTTCTTATATTTACTTAAAATCAGTAACCACTTGCGTCTTACTGACTTTATTTTCGTTCTTAGGGTGAATTCATAAACTAAGACGAAGAATTGTTAGAAAGTAATATATTGGAATTGATAAGAAAAGTGAAAGTGAAAGTACGATCAACCTACAGATTTGAATATAATAAAAAAAAAGGTCCAGTTGTCAAAAGAAAAGTAGTAATAGAATTATAATCGATTAAAAAATTATTATATTATAATTGATTAAAAAAAGAGAGGGGGAAATGTAAATAAAATAATGCAAAAAATAGAGGGAAAAATAAAAGAGAAGTAAAGAATAAAGGTGAATATGGAAATAATAGCGAAATAGATTGAAACAATAAAGAGATAGATAATAAAGAAATAGAGAAAGAGATTAAAACGCTGAGGGAAAAGAAATATATCTGGTTGCCATAATTTTCAAGGTGGGGACGTATTGCTTCCATTCTCATGATCTTCTTAGTAATGCATAATGCTTTATGTTGTAGCATACCTACGGACGATTATAGGTATGCTCCTATTCACATAAATACAGTAGTAAATACTGTATGTTGATCTGCAGTTGGAGATTCAATTCCAGCTGTGCTGGTCAAACTCTCTGCCTCTAGGCAGAGAGGATCTCCAGCCGAGGCTATGTGGAAGGGCAGATTCTCGTTTCGGGAAACAGCTATCCGACCCCGTTTTATACAATGTCTCCGGAGAATTTTTGGCCGAGTCTATGGGCTCGGATACCCCACATTAGATTCGGCCTTGTGCCACATCTGACCGCGTGGGGCGGTTAATAGATATTCTGCAGTTTGAGAATCATTTTAGAATTCACTTGACTCACTTCTAGCAGTTGACTATTATTTCTATGCGCCGCTGGCGAATCTTATATATGTTGTTCGTGTCCTAAGTATTATCGTTTATTACCAATCTTCCTTTGATTATTCTATTAAGTAACCGTCCCTAGTTTACAACGCTAAACGACTTTCTTGTCCGTTTGATCGATGGGAATACTCAATGCTTTCTTTCGATTCTCTTGTCTTCACCTTGCCGTGAGAGCGTTAAATTCTATTAAAAAATTATACTTTTGTCTCCTGGTGCATCGTCAAGATGCTAGTTTGTTTGTTTTTTTCTGATAGTTAGCAATAATTTCTTTGTGTTTTGTAGCAACTCACAACTTTCTTTTTCGTAACACGATATTAAACAATCCCATTTTCTATGACGTAATTCGTGTCGTAATTATCCAACATTCATTTCCATCTAGGAGTATAGACATTTCACATCAACCCGATACTCTTTCTTTTATTGCTAGTCTTTTCTTTGATCGTTTATTAGGTAACTCATTTTCTGAAAATCTCTTTCGCTATTACAATGCACCATTCGAATTTCTGTGTCACATCTTCGGAGAGAAAATAACTAATAAATAATAACAAAGGAATATCAAGCATTTTACAGATATAAAGAAGAGAAGAATGTAGTAGGAATGTAATAATGAAGAATGAAATGGGAGAGATTTAAGTGTCAGGGGAAGAGAGTAAGAGAGAGTGAGAAATACAATAATAACTAGGAAGAAAAACTGACTTAGTGGAGAAATAAAAAATAATAAATCATGGTAGATAGAAAGAAAAATAGAATTAGTATAAAACGAGAGTAACGCTAAGAGACGGACAGAGAGAGGGAGAGAGACGAGGGGAAAAGAGAGAAAGAGAAGAGAGTAAGAGACTAAGAGAGAGAAGACAGAGAGATAATTTATAGAAAATGATGAAAGGGTAGACGTAGAAAACGTTGCCGAAAGCGAAAGACAGTGAGAAACAAAAAAGAAAGAAGTAGACAACATGGAGAAAAGAGAAAGACAGAGAGAGAGAGAAAGAGAGAGCTACAAAGAGAGAGAGAGATGAACATTTAAGAGGAGGAAACAAATGAAGGGATATTTAGAAGAAAAGAAGTGTTATTATCTCTCAGATTATTATTATTATTATTATTATTACCTCTGTTAATCTCTAGGAGAGAATTACAAGAAAGGGGCGAAAAGAGAAAGATAAAAATGGAGAGTGGCACTGTCAGAATTAAAGAACGTGAAAAAGAAACACAATCGTAATCATATTACGGATAAATCGAACAGAAAGTTGGTGTTTAAAGTGGAAATAGTAGAGAAAATTAAACGAATAATTGAAAGTACCAAGAGAGAGAAGAGGAGAAGGGGAAGAGAATTAGAGAGACGTGGAGGAAGAAAGAGGGGAGATAAGGGAGGAGGGGGTAGAACGGAAGATGGGGAGAGAATCGAAGAGGAAGAGATAAGGAGAGAAAAGGGAATAGGGGAAGTGGGAGACAGAAGGAAAGACGTAAACAGAAGAGAATAGGAAATAAAAGAAACAGGAGGAGGGGAGAGAAGAGAAGAGGGAGGTCGAAGGGAAGATGGGGAAAGAAGGGAAGAGAAAGAGAGAACGTAAAAAGTGAGAGAAGGGAATAGGGGAGAGGGAGACAGAAGGGAAGTGGGAGACAAGGGAATAGAGAAAGAAGGAGAGATAAAAGAGGAGAGGGAAGGGAAGAAAGAGATGGAAGGGGAGAGAAGGGAAGGGGGAGATAGATGGGAAGATAGGAAGAAATGTGAAGATGTTGAGAGCGAGAGAGAAGGGAATAGGTAGAGGGAGACAGAAGAGAAGAGGGAAAGAGAATGGAAGAGGGGAGAAGGAGACAGAAGGGAAGAGGAACAGAGAAGCAGAAAGAAGGGAGGAGGAGGAGGAGAAAGAGTGAGAAGAGAATAAGGAGTGATGGAGGGAGAAGGGAAGAGGGAGAGAGATGGCGTCGACGTGAGGACATTTAATTCCCAATTCGTCATTAAGATATTTTTTGGGAAGTTAAATATGCAAAGACAAAACAAAGACAAAATACAACAAAATGTCGGCAAAGTGATACCTGAGAGCCTTTACTCTTGCACGTGAGGGAATTAAGTGAAACGTCTCTATTTTGAGATAGGACCACCAAAATTGGCTTCACCTTCACTGGTAGTCATATATATATATATATATATATATATTTGCGATTGAATGATGTCTGATTCTTTTTTTAACGATCTGCGCCGACAAGAATGGGAATTAGTTTAAAATATTCATTCCTTTGTCCAATGTTTTAAGGGAATTATTCTTAAAAACAATTATTTCATGTCATTATCTTTCATTTACTTTGGTTGACATTTCGTCCGGCCGATATCCCTGTCTGCCTTGTTTGTTTGGTTTGTAAGTAAACTTAGAGATCACGTTTGTTGGTATTATTTTTTTTATAAACAAAAAGTGATAAAATAATAACTACAGTGAATCGGCAATATGGAATGTAGCCTTGTAAAAAATTGGATGAATCAGCAATTAGTATATTTGTGTCTATTAATTACTATAGTTTGTTCGTAAACAGTATACTATTAGAGAATCATTGTACAAGGAACATGGACAAGAAATCCTGGCAGATCCCCCCGCAGAAGAAATAAAAAAAAGGCATTCCATAAATATCTACTCCGGCATTTCACTTCTGCGATTTAATTTTTTTTTATTATATATACAATAATGTTCACCCTGTACAAGTAATGGAGTCACTCGATGTACAGTGTTACTGAGTAAGAGGCATAGTTTATACGGATATATTCAGAAGATAACATTTGAACAGGTTAAGATTGTAGTGACCGGAAGAGCATTCTCTTGGGCGTTGGTCCCACAGATCAGAGAAGAAGCTACTCAGGCGCTTGCTACGTTTCATCTGTGAGAAAGAGATTGTAGGTTGGAAAATAATTTGTTACCCACAAGGAGACACTTTTGGACTCTATTGAGACTGGAAATTGTAGAACGTACAGCTCCTGCCCATATATGGCAGTTGTACTCCATTTTTAGGTCTGATCCGGCTTATGTAAAATTAGAGGAATAACGGGTGGAGTCAGGCTGAGGCGGTAGAGGGAACCGATCATTTTTCCAGTGTCTTTAGCGACGGATCGTATGAGCGAGTTCCATTTGAGGTCTAGCTTGAGTGTGAGTCCCAATAGGTGCTCAATGCACAGAGGGTCTTCCTGAAGGAATATCCTTTCATGATGCCTGGTGAGAGTTCTAGGCCCGATCAGCGATGATGGAATGTCACTAGTTTTGATTTCGAGGTACTGAATGTGACCAGCCAGTTTTCCTCGACAAAGCTATTAGAGTAAAATCGCAGGGCAGATCAGCTGCCAAAAACTGGTCATCTAGAGTTTTGGATATTTTAACGTACCTCAGATATTCTTCCACAACGTCTCATATCTGCAGAATATAAACGGAGCAGAATTCATAAAAGCTGCAATTAAATCAGCCTTGATCAAATTGAACAGGAATAAAGCAGAAGTACTAGGATTTTAATAGAGATGCTGGCAGCTTACGATGATTTCGGCATTGTCAAAATTACAGAAGTAAAAATGATATATACGACAATGGCGATAAAATAAAAGACCTCAATAGACCCATTTTCATCGCGCTGCCTAAGAAGCCAGAGGGCAAATAAATGCGAACTCTATGAACAATCAGCCTAATGAGTCACATGACAAAACTGAAGAATACAAATCGTACCAAAAGTAGACCGGAAATAGTAAAGGCACAGTGCTATTTTGTTAAAGACATTAAAAGAAATAATGCGATATTTATGTATGAAATGGTATCTGAAAGATCAATACAAATGTAAAAGAATGAATACCTATGTTTTATAGATTCAGCAAAAGCGCTTGATAAAGAACAACACAAAGAACTGTTGGAATTGCTAAGATAAACTTGATTTATGCAGGAAAGCACCTGTATACTGAAAGAAAATGAACTCAGTAAATAAACAAAATAGGAAGAATGTGTCTTCTCACAAGACTTTTTCAACCTTCAAAATGAAGTAACTCTGAGATAATTAAATGCCCTACCGGAACAGAACCTTAACTACAAAATATAAGGATCACACAGTGTTGATAGTAGACATCGTCAGAAATCTACATGAAGGTAGGAAAATAGGAAAAAGAATTAAATCTCAGTTATAAGAGGACAGAATATAAAGTTGTACGAAAAAGAAATGGCCGAAGACGTGAAGTACAAATTAGAGTCACCAAAATCAAACAAGTACAAAATAAATATCTAGAAAACCCGGAAATTTCGACACCGGCATCAGTAGGATGACTAACAAAGTACAAGCAATGTATTTTAAAAAACGGGTAAATTTTCATAGAAACAAATAGAAGAGTAATGAGATGTTATGTAATATTGGTCCTCCCCATATAACAGTGAATGTTAAATAATCACATCACAGATGAAGAATAAACTTGAAGCAAATGAAATGTGATTCTACAAAAGGATGCTGGGAATTCCGTTATCTGTTCACATGAGGAATTAAAGAGTTTTAAGGAATTTAAAAGAAAAGGCTCTTATACTTAGAAATTGAAATTTCTAGGTTACATAATGAGGAAAAGGGACTTGGAGAATGTGATGCTCACAGGACAATACTGAAGGCAAGTACGACCAATAATTGGTTGACAGAACAGGGATTAAGAAATCGTAAAAAATAAACTTACTAAGAGTCACTAAGAACAAAGAAAGTTGTGAAGAGCTATAATCGTCACATCATGAAAGGACACGGCAAATAAAAAATAGTTTTCACATATATATGTATATCGATAAATGCACAATTGAGGAAAAAAGTATTTATTTTTAAAAAAGACATTGATTTTGCAACAAAATCACCTTTTTGTTAATGCCCTTAATGTCACTGGTGAATTTGCCACACGACTAATCAAACAGACTGGACATTTCAGAACAAAATTCAACTAATGACTTATACATCAGGCTTCGAATATATTGGTCCATACTTAGCCAATGCAATATTCTGCTCTTTTCATTGCTCTAAAAAATGTATATTAGAAATATGTAATATTTTTGCTGAAAAACAAACATTGCGACCTTTCTAGTCTCCTTCTCCAAATATTAAGTAATATATTAGATATGTTACAGTAATCCGTGTTTATACATAATGGCAGTTAAGAACAAGTAGATCATATATATATATATATATATATATATATATATATATATATATATATATATAGGTGCGTGTGCGCGCGCGCTTAAACAGTCAGATATAAATAAAATATATCTGTAAAAAAACAATGTGAATAATAAAAATATAAATCAAAAATCAAAAAAAAAAAAACAACAGTAAATAAAATTTACTTAACTTCATTTATTAAAATTATATCACTTAACATTCTAGTTTACACCTTGACTTTCACAATTAGCCTGAAGAAAGAAGCATTGTTAAATTTTAAAAACATATCACTGGAATTACTTTTGTTTATAAATACTTGTTGCCTAAATATACATACATATATATATATATATATATATATATATATATATATATATATATATATATATTAGCATTAAACCAAAAAAATATATTTATATAGTAGTAAACCAAAATATTCAGAATTTCCACTTATAGGGCATATAGATCTATTTCAATTGACTAAAACTTACCTTGAATAAGTGACGAAGTTTTCATCGGTTGAAAAAGGTCTATATCCCCTAGATCTCAAATGGAACTCGCACATACGATCCGTCGCTAAAGACACTGGAAAAATGATCGGTTCCCTCTACCGCTCCAGTAAGAGCCTGACTCCACCCGTTATTCCTCTATATCCACTATGAGGTAATTCTGAATTTTTTGGTTCACTACTATTTATTTGCTCTGTATAATAAATACATTGAGCTCTTTTTGTGAATGAGTTTTAATATTTTAGATTATTAGATTACTACTTGGATTATATACCAACGGATCTATTACGTTTATATATATATATATATATATGTGTGTGTGTGTGTGTGTGTGTGTGTGTGTGTGTGCGTGTGCGTGCGAAAAGTCTGTGTATATAAATTGTATTAAAGTGTAAGTATATTAGAAAGCGCTCAATATCAGAGATAGAGCTAACATATTTATTTGGATTGATGTGAGTTTGTAACCCTTGGTTTCACGCTTTTGCTATCGTAAGACAAACTGATTAATTTTTTTTTTAATTTTAGATTTATGTAGGGTTGCATGTATTGGTGTTCTTATGGAAGTGGGAGGAAAAATTGTCGTCGTGACGCCCCTCATACATACGCAAACATACATACACGTCCGTACACCCATTGGGGTACGCAGACGCACATACACACGGGTTCGCCCACCGGAGCTCACACAAATATAAACACATGTGAACAGCCTTAAAAAATTAAAAATAATAGCAATTTTTACCTATCATAGTTTTACACAGACCCCATCATACGTATATACGTGCGTGCGAGGAAATATTATTCAGCGAAAAAATAGAAAAACGGTCTGCGTGTTGACATCGCTACATTCAGGAAAATTATTTGCTATACAATCTATCATTGAATTCAGCAATCAAATGCATATGTATGTCCACAACAGCACACATATACACATATATGCCAAGTCCCACAGTGTTCACATATGTTTATGTCATGGCTGACAGACAATTTCTGCGATCATATTATTCCTTACATTGAGCCACCTAACTGCCCAGATTGCAACCCCCTTGATTATTATGTGTAGGGTTCAGTGGAACGAGAGACTAATAAAATTCTTCAATGAAAGATGAAAGAAGTCAAGGATCATAGCAGCATTCACTGCCTTAAAGAAGGAGACCGCCTAGAAGAGCCGCACGAGATTCTGAAGTCGACTGGAGGTCGCGATTGAAGCCAGTGAATAAATTTACTCTTTAGTATTTCAAGATATTTTTCTGTCATTTTGGTAAACATATCTGTTAGAATAAGATGTCCATGGTATTTTCATGTTGCG